GCCTCAACAGTGATATTGTAAAGCAATGTTTATAAACAGCATCATAACTGTTTCAATTCATCTCATTATATGATATCTCATTTATGAAATCTTATTTATGTCATCATGGTAAAACTCACTTTAGCCTCAACAATGACATTTTAAAGCAATGTTTAAAACAGCATTATAATCATTTTGTAATACAATACCTTATTTTGAAAACAGAGGGAAAATCACAATTTATGAAGTCTACTAAATGTAATATATTTGTCTGCCTTCTACTGATATACACGTACTCATAAATAGATCAAGTGATATAGTGTTAGGGAAAACTATTGCATTGTCGATGTACTCAAAGGTTACATTTTTTAATGATGTTTTCATAACAGAAAAAAACGACGACAGCCCAATGTTCCTTTATAAACGTGCAAGAGCTTACTATTAGCCTGATGAGGAGGTCGATGTTTGAATAATTAAAGACCAATGTGATAGAACGTACAACTTACTTCTTCACATCACAGAATGTAGGTATGGGTTTGTAAAGGAAAATTACTTACTCAAATTTTGCCTAGAAGATGAAAATTTGGACTGCCTGGTATACTTTGCCATCATTAAAACTGGACATGTCACATGGCCTGCCTATTTTTGTTAATGCAAGATGGTGACTCGTTTCAACATCTGAGCTGTACACCTTCCTTTTGAGAACGATAATAAAAGGAACAATTTTAAGAGCACAAGATCTGTCTTAGTGGAAAAGTCAGAAGACAGAAGATCAAATGGTCTAAGCCAGAATCGAGTGCTTCATGATCACTGTGTATACTTTTTAATGGGATTTAATGAGTAACACAATGTAGCTTGTGTGGGTCCAACTTCGTGGTGGATATATGTACCACTCCGTGGCAAAATGGACCCCACTGATATGATCATGTAGCAATAACTTATGTGTGGGACCAACTGCGTGGTGGATATATGGACCACTCCGTAGTAAAACGGATCCCATTGCATAGTACCAGTACACACAACTATACCAAACTATCCCAAAGATGGTTTTAATCATGGAGTAATTAATGCACATGTGATAACTGAGCTGTTATGGCCAGATTTTCAGCATGTAACGAGATATATACACTGTATCCCTATATTATGCAATAAATCAAGGGATTTTTCTAGCTCTTCACAATTGTGCACAAAGTTAACCAGGAACAAGCCCAACTTCTAGTCTAAAACTCCTAAGCATGCATGGTCTATAAAAAATTGCAATCTCAGTGTTATCAATTTCGGAGCATAGGGGTGTACATATTATAAACATTGGGATATACCTTCACAGCATCATATATCTTCTCTATATCACTTGATCAACCTATGAGTGTAGAGTATAGCAATTGAAGAAAAATCATTGTGATAAGAACATTTTTTCTCAAAGTAGACATGTTAGCAGATAATAGATCAACTGGTCTAGGTTTTGTTTACATCGTACTAAATTCATAAACATTATTTTGCAAAAAAATCATCTATTTACCCGAGGTGCAACATTTTCTTTCCCTCTGTCGAGTTTCCTCTTTTTTTATTTAGTATCTTTCTCCGAGTGTTTGTTTATCATGATGTATGTATCAAATTGTTAAATTATTTTATTGATGGTATATACAAGAAATTACCAAATTATGATTGTTTTTATGATTTCTGTATAGAATTTTGCTAAATTTTGCTAATGTATTTTGTTATTCTGTTCTACTGATGGCATATATTATGTCATCATTTATACATGTATTATAATACTGATTCTATTATATATATGTAAATATATAAATATATAAATATATAAATATATATATATATATATATATACAATCTTTTTGCCAGTGCATGATTAGATTAGTTTTCTATTTTTGTTGGTGTTTTGTGTTTTGCGGATAATACTGAGAATATCTACTGTACATGCGTGTTTTGCCCGGGTGTTTTTTTGATGTTCTCTTCTATGAATCATTGGTTTGAGTCTAACCTTATGAGATGTTAAGAGCTGCTGACTGTGTGGGTAAGGGGTTGGTATAGGCAGGGTATATAGGCAGAACAGCCAACTACAGTGAACGTACAATTAAAGACCATGTCGGAAGTGAAAAATTAAATTGATGAACTATATATCAAAGGAAAGCTTACAAGCCATATATTACAATATTACCAATTATATGCTACTTAGTGCCTGTCGGACGAGTGACAGCTCTTTAAAAACTCGAAATCTAAAGCTTTGGAAATCGGGAGTTGTTGACCTAAAAACTAGCTATCGAATTGAGTACGCATATTCACAATGACTTTACATTAATTAAGCACGGCTCATCGCATCAGCTATATAGGCGGATCGCACATAATTATTATGTCGTCACTGTAACTCCGGCAAACGTGACCCCCCCCCCCCGTTGATCTGTAATTCGGAAAGGTGCAGAAAATAAGGTTTTAATTCGCTTTCGTGCAATACTGAAAGGGGAAATATTTTGTTCTTTCGGCTTTCCATTGATAAAAAGTTGTATTTTCATCGGATAGGGTCCTTAATACATTCATCTTCAAGCAAGGAAAGTAAGGTTAAATAATGATGAGAGAGAGAGAGAGAGAGAGAATGAAGGACTGTTTCCACTAGATCGATCTATAAATAATTTCTTAGAAAATGTTGAGGACATGGGAATTAAGGGGGAGGGGGTCAAAGTGGACACATGTCTTTGCTTAACTAATCAAAATGTTGCTATCGATCTCTATTAAGTGGTGTCGTCATGGGGGGGGGGGCTGAAACATAATTATACATGCACAGGCCATTGTAATAAAAAGGACGAGAGAAAATAAGTGTGCAATTCATTAGGCCTGTGATATGCATATATATCTAGCCATGTCCACCCAATCTGTACATTCACTACAAAAAAAAGGTAATGTTATCCCACTGACCTCGCATACCTGCATATTGTCCATCTTTTACACTAGTGTTCAATGAGATTTTCATAGATGACAAAATTATGCAGAAAATAATAAATTATTTTCAAAAATAATTTTGTTAGGCCAAATATATGAAGTAGATCTATATAGGCACATGCTCACTTGGCTAAGTGAGAAGCCCAGTGTCTCGATCAGCCAAATACAAATGCTAGGCTGTTAGCATGCGTGACCAAGAAAACGAGCATAAAGGGGTGTTTTTTTTAGATGGGCCATTTAAAAAAAAAGGGTACCTTTTCAAAATGGTTGAAATATCCTGCTTTACGCGTTAAGGGGTATTTTTCTAGCCCTCAGACGAGAATGGGAGGGGGAGGGTGGGGTGGTAATAATTGCCCGTTGGCAAGACCAAGGAGCTGGTATATCTTTGGCGAGACTGTCGTCCGCCGCCTGCACCTGCCGCCTAGCTAGTTGGTTATAGGCGCTCTGTCAGCTTTGTGGACGACGGCCGCGAAAGGTAGCTTTAAATTATATAACGCGAGTTGGTAGCATGTTGCATGTACCAATAGGGTCTTATTAAATTTGACAGACGGTGTAGCATTCTTCCAACTAATCGATATTAGCACAAGCAATGTCGAGTTTAATTGACTCTCAGTCAGGGGCGGATCCAGCCGGCGGAAGGGAAGGGGGCCAAACGGGCCCTGATTCATGAAAAAATATTTCGCGGCGAGACAGCCAGCCGGTGAATAAGCTGGGAGGGGGGGGGGACCACTTTATTTTGCCCCAGAAAATTTGAACATCGCATCCTCCCCCCCCCCCCCCCCCCCTTGAGCACATGGGAGGGGCCTGTCTTCTTTCATTTTAAAACAAAAAATAGGTACAATTTATGTGTTTTTACGTTTTTTGTTTTTATTTGCCATTTGAGGGGGCCCAAGCCCCCCGCACCCCTGGATCCGCCACTCTACATGGCATATGCGTTTATGAAAATAAAAAAACAATATAAAATAATAATTTTATCAGGGGTTTTAGGCATTTGATTACGGTAAGATGAATGATACCTGATTTGTGACACTGGCGGGTCACTAATTAGCGGGGGGTACAGGGGGCTGAACTTGATAAAGCTCGGGGTTTTAATGCATTTAATTACGGTCAAATGAGTATCCAGGTGCCCGCCTTCGGGTCCTTGGTACGGTCTTTAACATACCTTTTCGCAAAATGAGGGGGGCTCGAGCTCCCGAGCCCCGCCGTTCTGCAGGCGCTTACTTGAAGGCTTCTAAATGAGCATATATTTTGCCAGACTGTAAATTTGGGGATTTGTAATTAAGACGCATAAAAAATGTAAAATTGACCCCCAAAAATTGAGAAAAATATCCCAGAAATTCATGTGATTTCAGCAAAATTTGTAAATCACTGCATGGTATCGAATTAGAAATAAACCATGTTTTAATTTTATTTGGGGGCAGCTGCGCCCACCCATCCCCCTTCTTCAGTACGCCAGTGTTCAGGGGCTCATGTTTTTTGTCACCCCAATAATAAAAAATAAAAAAACATGCTTTCCCATCCTCTTACAATATTTCCACTGTATGCGCGTATATGCGCGTATCGCTATTATAAAATCCTCAATTGATAAATACAGGGTCATGCGGAATAATAATAATAATATTTAATTTGTATATAGCGCTTAATACAAATGTCTCTAAGCGCTTAACAAATATACTATTACCCCGGTCATTGGATTCAGTGCTTGCCCGCACACAATGTGTGCACAATCTCCACTCCCTGGGGAGCATTCCAGCCAGGCGTTACATGACGCTCAAAAACTGTTTGACCAACAATGACGGTCGCATCCTACTGGGTACCCATTTAACACCTGGGTGGAGAGTAGCAATTAAGTGCAGAAAGGATATTAGTTAGGAAATTTAATTCTTATTTACTCTCCTTTTCTTCTTTGAATGGAATATAATTTTTTTATGTGATTCAATTCAGGTTATTTTATTTTTGATTAGAAAATGCGTTTTGCCCTCCCCGCCCCCACCCCCATTTTTTCGTTCGGGGGCAACTACTCTGGCGCTGGCCTCGATTATTTAGCTCGCTATGCGAAATGCGCATGCGTAACATTTTGGACAAATGATGGCGTAATCTTCCTGAGCTGTGTTGTTGATATGAATGATGCGCTCGTAACTTTGTTCTTCAGGAGAGGAAAGGCGTATCTATTTACTATTATAAAGCTGGAGCATGTAAAAGTGCTATTTGTAACTATTCTACGTGTATTAGCTTCATAGAGGATAAACTTGGAGACGTTTAGATAGAAGGAGAAAGGCGGAAAATTCGGAAATATGGCTACCAATGCAAGCCAGCGCCAGCAAGAAGGACGTGTTCATACAAATGGCAACAACGGGGATGCAACTGAAATAGACGGGCCAGCGCTGGACCGGGACTCTCTCCGCCTGTCGTTTGCCAAGCTTGGTGATAAGCTACACATGAATGGTGATGAAACAGATCATCATGCCTCATGTAAGTATCGATTATATAGACATGATAGACTAACTGAAGAAAAAATTTAGTGTATACTACTACTGATGTTTCCAGTTTTATTTTTTGACTGAAATTATGGAACGATTGATTTGACTGATGACGACTTTGCGAGTACCCCGACGGTCCGAGTGCGAGTACTGATGGTCCTTCTTCTTCTTCTTCTTCCAGTATAGTACAGTCCGCCGTTGGCGTATTATCGTACCTTGTGTTTGTCAAGTGCCGAGTGTACAGTGCAAGTAAAAAGGTTCTACAAGAATTCTATGTGCAGCTAAAAAACAGTCTGAAGCTCAACGGAGCTTGATGTGTTGCACCTTCTGCTTGAAAAGTTCCAAAGAGGTGCCATCGACGACAGCAGATGGTAAGGAGTTCCACAGTCGGATAGTATCTGGGTAGAATGTGGTTTGGAAAAGCAGAGTTCGGGCAAAGGGGACATGGAATTTCTGTGGATTTCCACGGGTACTGGGACCAACAACGGGTATGAAGTAGGTGACTGGAAGATCAACCAGGCCATGGAGTATGCTGTAAACCATGCCTACTTTCTGCTGAGCCCTTCTTTCCTGCAGACTTACCCATTTAAGTTGATTCAGCATGGCTGAGACGCTGCTTCTGCGCCGATAGTCACCCAGGACGAAGCGTGCACAACGGCGTTGCACCATTTCCACCTTTCTAATGTTCTCCTGGGTGGACGGGTCCCACACTATTGCAGCATACTCTATCACAGGGCGTACTAACGTCTTGCACAGCAACTCCTTGGTCTTCTGTGGGCAGGCCCCCATGTTTCTTTGCAGAAAGCACCGTACAGAGTTGGCTTTTTTGGTGGTGACGTTTACATGGTGATTCCATTTCAGGTTGCTCTGGATGTGGACCCCCAAGTACTTTGCAGTTTCTGTTACATGTAGCTGCTCTCCATGGATGAAGTAAGGAAAGGAGGCTTTGGATGTCTGCCTTTTACTAGAGACATGCATAACCTGGCATTTTTGAGGGTGGAATTGCATTAGCCAGTCTGCTTCCCATTCCTGGAGTGCATCTAAGTCCTTCTGCAGGCATTCTGCATCATCTGCACTTGACACCTTCCTGTACAATATGCAGTCATCTGCAAACAATTTCACTGTAGACTTCGCTGATATGCAGTCAGGAAGATCATTGATGAACAGCAGGAAGAGAAGAGGCCCGAAGTAGCCTGGCCTAGATCTGTCTAGTCTAGACTGTATGTAATTGTAAATCAATAAGCATCGGTCATGTGACAATAACGTATCCCTCTCCTCCAAGGCCAGATGGTGTCAAAATTTAGCAGTTAGCATAGGGCTAGGCCTAGGGTAGACAGCAATAACCATCTGATTTGGGTCATTTCTTTAATAAAACTGACATTTGTTGTCATTCCCCAATACAGATGGCAACCCAGAGATCTCCGTGGGGGTAGCTACTGTATAGCCAACAATGGCAGCTTTTTTTGTCAAAACATTTTCTCCCCAATTTTCTGTATTTAGATCTAATTTTCTGATTTCTAAATCAGATGTAAATTAGGTCGGTCTAGAATCTATATATCTCCTAATTACAGTTTTCAAAATTTTCTAACCTATTATAGAATGTGAAATTTTCGGACTTACTTATATGAATTTATTCAATTTCTGTGAAACTACGTTCATGCACTCGAAAATAGAGCTATATGACCCGGCGGCCGGTATATTTCCGGGTCAACCTACGCCAATGGCCAATCAGAGCACTCGTTTCGTGGGAGTTCGTTGGTCAAGCTGGGCTTACTCGTACGTAGCTACGGTAGCTATTGGACGTTCGAAAAGAAAAAATGAATATTCATCAACTAACACCAAGACGGATAATGTTGACGACGAGACTTTCTCAGATTAATCATTAATTTAGGATCTAAATGAGCAAGCTATCGTAAGTCAAATAAGCTACATGTATATATGTTATTTTTAATTTTTGTTATAATTGCAGTAGTTATGAGGATGTAAAGAGTGAAAATCTCGTTGCATATTTCATTCATCGCGGTCCGGTCGAACCGAACCATTTGTTCCGTACAGTGCCTCACAGAAAGAGGTCCCCAGACTTCAGTCTCTATAATCGGAGGTCTAGTGGAACCAGACGTAGTCTCAGTGGAACAACCGACGATTAGAGAGACTGAAGTTTTCGGTCTAGGCCTAGGGGCGCTGGTCCGAGAATAAGGATCGTCCGCACAAACAAGCATCGTCTTCGTAAAAGCGGACAGACGCGTCTGCAAAAATAGGGATTGTCCACATTTTTGCTGAAGATTCTGATTTCCTATTCGTGCATTGGTGATGCAAAAAACAGGTTCCACAATGAGTTTTTTGATGCATTTTACATTGACTTTGTACAGAGAATTTCACGTTATGAGCGATAAATCCTTTGGAAGGCGGACAACCCATAAAAGTAGACAGTAAACTGGGGGTATTTTGTTATGTGCAATCTGTTTTTTAAATCGGGAACCCAAAACCTGCAGAGCGCAGAAGAAGAACATAATTTGTGGCCAATCCTTATATCAGGACGCATTTTGTCGGCGCCCATACTGTTTAGTCAGCTTGGTCTTTTGGATAAGCGATCGCTTCACAATGCAAACTAAATGGGTTTGATACTTTGATTCCCAGTTAGGCCTACTCCTTTAATCTTTTATTTATCCTATTTTTACAAGCGTAGAGGCTAGAATTTGATGAAGACCATTGAGATCACACATAGGAACATCACTATCCTGGCTGTGTAGTAAAAGCTGTGCTTTTTATTCTCAACATTTCAACACCACTGTACAAAACTTAACTGATTTCACTCAAAATCGCTACTTTAGTGACAATTGATGACACCTAAATAGCAGTAAAATACATTTTGTTCAACTTACTGATGTTAAAAAGAATAATTTAAAAATTCAAATTGTAATTCTACTGTCAAACTTTGCTTACAGCCGCATCGGCATGATTGTGTGCAGTCTATGCAATATTGTGTGGTGTGTATATTTGTGTATAGGTACATGTAGGTCTAATAATACCTGCCTCACAGCAAGTATGCAGTACTAGAGGTCAATATGCATTAGCATTAACTCTCTATGCTTTGCTGGAGTGATTGAGATAGGGTCCCAGAAGACAAATAGACCTCCATTTCATCTTTGTCACATTCTTTGAGATATTTCCCTCACCACCCTAATTGGCATGATGATGAACTGTTGTTGAATAATTGTCCTCTGAATGCAATCCATAAAAATAAAGGCATAATAACATCATCCTTGGACTTGTACTTGGTACAAGCACCAACACCAACTTCTAGCCACCAGAACTCAAAATAACTGTGTACTTAGGCTAGTAGATCATCAACCTTCTCCTTCCCCTTCTAGTGTAAGTGCTGGTTCAAGCAAGGTGCTGCTTACAAAAAAAGAGTCTGACTAGACCTAATCACCTATACATGTATGTTTAAAAAAAAACCTTTTCCAGCAGATGGATTGTATTGTCTATCCGGTGAATAACCAGAAGTTCTAAAATCTGGTCTAGATCTTAAATACTAAATGAAAAAGAAGAAAAAAGGCAGACAAAATGTCAAAGAATGGGTTTACGGTACATAAAATTACATATACTTGTACATGTACATGTACATTAAGGCTGTACACAACAGTGTAATGAGGTACCCGAGTACACTCCCAGGCTCACAAGCGAATATTCGGACGCCATGTTTTTTTATAATTTTTTTGAATTTTTTTTTTTTTTTTTTTTTGCCACTACCATACCACTCGGCAGTTTCCCAGTTCCCTCGCCGAAAAGCATGCAATTTTACTTTGAGTTGCAGTTGAAGGCGCCGATTTAATAAGAATAATAACAGTAAGCAATGCTGTTTTAAAAACCAAAGATGGCAGAATAACCCATTTTCCTCCAAGTCCAAACAGAAATCTGGACATTTGGTCCCAGTTTCTGAAAGGTGAGTTTGACAGTGCTTGAGTTGGGAAACATTTTTACCGACGGTACCATGCCAGCGGTCGCCGCTCTCCCTGGCACGGGTAAGCGTGGGCCTGGACATTTTTTTTTTTCATTTTTTTTTTTTGCAGCCGAATATTCGGGTACGATTCGGCATTCGACTACCCGTCGCAGCCTTAATGTACATAAACAACATGAACATCTACGTTTCCTTTTCATTCAAGAGTTGTAGATTTACGTTTTCAAGGTCTTGTTTTGTAGATCCACATTATTCTAAAATTGCATTATTCTAAATTGCACCTCCAAGTGAAATTACAGTGAAGGCAAACTACTAGGGTTTACATGCAAACAAAGGACAGCAGTCTGGAACTGTATTGTACAATGTAGCTGCCCTCTAAAGAACGTTGTGCTATTTTGTTCAGTCAAGTGTCCTACAGCTGATGTCCCCATAGTCTGTGTGTTGAAATCAGCTGGACTGGAGATACAATACATAGCTAGATCCACTCAGATGTCAACAATGCATGCACAGTACAGTGGACTACTCCTGTACCAGGGACACCGTACTGTATTGAGCACTGTAATCATGGGAGTTCATTGCAAAATGTTCATGTCTATACTATGGGCCTATGCATATTATGATTACTGCTCCACCACAATGGATTTGAATACATATCAGTATGTACATGCAGTGTAGGCCTAAATGTCATCACAAAGTCAAAATAATAAGCCCACTTGTACATTCACAGCCTCAAGCACTGTCGTGCAGTTATGGCTATTTCTATACCAGCACATGAACATACATGAGTATCTCTATGATCCAACATGTAAATAATGAAATGTACAAATGATGCTTACATGCAACATTTAAAAGAAAAACTTTTTTCTAAAGATGTAATGGCCTAGGTACAGGTAGCATTTGAAAATGTTCTGGTTTATACATAAAGGACTGTTGGTAGTCGACAGTCCTTTTTAGGACTCCCCAATCCTCCCCTCTCTCACATGGTGCAACCGTATATCGTATGTATATCTACATCACCATGCAAGCCAATA